GCGAGAACTGCCCGGGAACCTGCAGCCTGGGGCCCTGGCACATCTTCATCCCTGTTCCCTGCCTCTGCAGGACCTGCCCTGACAGTACCCCATCCCTGCCCCTGCCCCTGTAGGATCTCCCATCCCTGCCCCTGCCCCTGCAGGATCTGCCCTGGCACAGCCCCATCCCTGTCCCCTTCTCCTGAAAGATCTGCCGGGGGACATCCTCATCCCTGTTCCTGCCCCTGCAGGCTCTGCCCTGGCACATCCTCATCCCTATTCCCTGCCCTTGCAGGATCTGCTCTGGCACAGTCCCATCTCTGTCCCTGCCCCTGCCCTAAACCCCAGGATCGTCCCTGGCACAGCCTGATTCCCTGCTCCTGCCCCTGCAGGCTCTGCCCTGGCACATCCCCATCTCTGTCCCCTGCCCCTGCAGGATCTGCCCTGACAGAGCCCCATCCCTGCTCCTGCCCCTGTAGGATCTCCCATCCTTGACCCTGCCCCTGTAGGATCTCCCATCCCTGACCCTGCCCCTGTAGGATCTGCCCTGGCACAGCCCCATCCCTGCTCCCACCCCTGCAGGATCTGCCCTGACAGAGTCTCATCTCTGTCCCTTTCTCCTGCAAGATCTGCCGGGGCACATCCCCATCCCTGTTCCCTGCTCCCTGCCCCTGCCCTGAACCCCAGGATCGTCCCTGGCACAGCTCCATCCCTGCTCCTGCCCCTGCAGGCTCTGCCCTGGCACATCCTCATCCCTATTCCCTGCCCTTGCAGGATCTGCTCTGGCACAGTCCCGTCTCTGTCCCTGCCCCTGCCCTGAACCCCAGGATCACCCCTGGAAACCCCCAATCCCTGACCCTGCCCCTGCAGGATCTCCCCTGGCACAGCCCCATCTCTGTCCCCTGCCCCTGCAGGATCTGCCCTGGCACAGCCCCATCCCTGCTCCCACCCCTGCAGGATCTGCCCTGGCACAGTCTCATCTCTGTCCCTTTCTCCTGCAAGATCTGCCGGGGCACATCCCCATCCCTGTCCCCTGCCCCTGCAGGATCTCCCCTGGCACAGCCCCATCTCTGTCCCCTGTCCCTGCAGGCTCTGCCCTGGCACATCCTCATCCCTGTCCCCTGTCCCTGCAGGATCTGCTCTGGCACAGTCCCATCTCTGTCCCTGCCCCTGCCCTGAACCCCAGGATCGCCCCTGGAAACCCCCAATCCCTGACCCTGCCCCTGCAGGATCTCCCCTGGCACAGCCCCATCTCTGTCCCCTCTCCCTGCAGGATCTGCCCTGGCACATCCCCATCTCTGTCCCCTCTCCCTGCAGGGTCTGCCCTGGCACATCCCCATTTCTGTCCCCTGTCCCTGCAGGGTCTGCCCTGACAGAGCCCCATCCCTGCTTCTGCCCCTGTAGGATCTCCCATCCCTGCTCCTGCCCCTGTAGGATCTCCCATCCCTGCTCCCACCCCTGCAGGGTCTGCCCTGGCACAGTCTCATCTCTGTCCCTGCCCCTGTCCTGAACCCCAGGATCGCCCCTGAAAACCCTCAATCCCTGACCCTGCCCCTGCAGGATCTCCCCTGGCATAGCCCCATCTCTCTCCCCTGCCCCTGTAGGATCTGCCCTGGCACATCCCCTATCCCTGCTCCTGCCCCTGTAGGATCTCCCATCCTTGACCCTGCCCCTGTAGGATCTCCCCTGGCACAGCCCCATCCCTGTCCCCTGTCCCTGCAGGGTCTGCCCTGGCACTGTCTTATCTCTGTCCCTGCCCCTGCCCTGAACCCCAGGATCGTCCCTGGCACATCCCCATCCCTGTCCCCTGCCCTTGAAGGGTCTGCCCTGGCACAGCCCCATCTCTGTCCCCTGTCCCTACAGGATCTCCCCTGGCACATCCCCATCTCTGTCCCCTGTCCCTGCAGGATCTCCCATCTCTGTCCCCTGTCCCTGCAGGATCTCCCCTGGCACATCCCATCTCTGTCCCCTGTCCCTGCAGGATCTCCCCTGGCACATCCCCATCTCTGTCCCCTGTCCCTGCAGGATCTCCCCTGGCACATCCCCATCTCTGTCCCCTGTCCCTGCAGGATCTCCCCTGGCACATCCCCATCTCTGTCCCCTGTCCCTGCAGGGTCTGCTCTGGCACATCCCCATCTCTGTCCCCTGTCCCTGCAGGATGTCCCCTGGCACAGCATGTGCAGTTACATACAGTGTGCAGAGTGCTACCTTTCCCATCTGCAAGCTACCAGTATGGGAATGAGGCCTTTTACAGCACGAAAACATCCCAAAGGAAATCCCATTATGATGAAAAAGGGTATCATACTGACAAGGTGTGGCCAAGAAATGGTACTTTACTGAGGAATGAGATCCTCACTTTCAGACAACAGTGTGCTGGTAACTACAAATTGTTGGGCCAGGMCAGAATTTAATACATATATGAAAAATAAACATCTTGGAGGATTTAACACCTGCAGGTTTTCTCTTGCGACCCTTTCATTCAACCACTGGTCACTCTCAGAGATAGAAGGCTATCCAAAGAATATTTGAAGAAACCAAATTAATACAGTAGGTGGCTATGAAGTTTGCCTCCATGAGAAAACTATTCTTACTAACATGGAAGATAAAATATGATAATAAAGTGAGTTTTTGAGTGCAATTTGTTTAAATTATCAAGTTTGTAAAGTCACGCATTGGAAATCAAGATAAAAGAATAAATTTGCACTCACAGTTTTTATTTGACTGCAAATACATGAATTCTGATAGATTGATTCCTCCAATTCACTCATCTCTCTGAGCCAGAACATGCAGGGAAATGTGGGAAAAAAKAAATTGTCTCATGGGTAAGATCTGCTGCCCCAGATAAATGGGATATCATTCTTGTCTTTGTCTTAAAAGACTAAAGTGATATTGAATATCTCATCCCAATCAAATTTTCCCAGAAAAAAATACATACACTGGCCACATTGCCTAGATACCTGATTGGGGGAACCTATCATCTGTTTTTACAGCTTTTTCACTAACTATAAATTAATGATAAATAAATTAAAAATAATTATAGGAGTTTCATATTCCAAAGCTCAAGCAATGTTTAAATATTTATGGCCAAAAAGTTGGAGAGGAATAGGTAGAATCCAGGGTAAATATGGCAGGCTACAAAAGAGATGTAAATGGTTTGATCACTGCTAGCAAAGCAAGGAAAGGTAAAAATATCTTTGTCTTTCCCTCAGTTAATGTATGCCTGGTTTAGACTGATTGACACYGTGCTTTGAAGACAAAAAACTAAGTCATGAAATCTTTCAAATTATCATATTTGACTGAATTTTCCTCCATTGATTTTACTCCACCTGCAGCGCACTAGACAAGGTAATAATTTATGATAATTATATGAAAATATACAATTAATATTCATCACCTCTCATTTCTCATCACTTGAGATGATCAGTAATGCAGAGTAAAAATGCTGTCAGATTTCTAATTGCTTTGTAATGGGCCTGAAATAGGGAAATCATTAAAGACAAACAATCTGTCACTTGTCTGTTACCTTAACTATCTATCACTTAAAAAAACCCTCATTAAATACATTGCTAATGAACGACAAAAGACTSTACTCAGTGTGCCCAGATGCACCTTTTTAAACAATATTGTAAATTGCTTAAATAATTCCCAAGACGTTTTCAATCATTTCTGTGGAAATTTAATGGAAAACATATATTTTCCGTGCATGTTACATCTCATTTGTTCACATCATTATGACATTTAGTCTATCATATGCACATCTCCTGGGAGACAGAACTTTTTCTTTTTACTGTTGACAAATCTGGTCCAATTAAATTCTG